TCAAATATGAGGGAAGAGTGAAAAAGCTGATTTACAATGTTATTTTACTCCAAACTGATGTTAATAAATAACCTTTTTTGTTTGTTTGTTTAGCAATCCACAAGTAGATATATTTTAGCTGTGTAGATTGAGGAGGACAAGAAAAATATCTGTATGTGGACTTCAGGGTTTGGTGGACAAACTGCAACAGTCAAGTCAAGACTCACAAGAAACAGGCTAAGGAGGCTGTACTTGGAAAAATTTCTATGACTAGTATCTGGATGAAGTTTGCATGTTCTCTCCGTGCATGCTTGGGCTTTTTCTGGGTACTCCAGTTTCCTCCCACAGGCCAAAAACATGCATGTTAGGCTGACTGGTAACTCTAAATTGTCCCTGTGAGAATGATTGTCTCTGTCTCTGGATATGGGCATCAGGGACGAACAATGCATGCATGGATGGATGGATGGGTGGAGCTGTGGCTGAGTGGATAGAGTGGGCGTCCTCCAATGGAAGAGTTGGGGGTTCGATTCCACCAGCAGTCACGTGTTGAAATGTCCCTGGGCAAGACACTGAACCCCTCATTGCCCTCAATTTTAAGTATTAAACAAAAAAGAAATCTGACCATAACTGTGTTTTGGTTGAACTACATAAATTGTTTTTCTTTTACAGGAGTTGGTCAACAGTTCCATGTCTAAGATCAGAATGGTTCAGAGAGGAAAGAAGTTCAGGAGGGTGGTACAATCGCTGCGTAGCAGGTCAACAAAATTTTTAGCTACAACAAACATGTAATGACGTGTCAAACAGGTCTGGGAACATGTTATGTTATGTTGCTTATTTGTCGTATGCAGGTTAACACAAGGTCAACAATGCAATGAAACGCTCAGGATGAGAAGAATCGATTTGACTCGAAAACAAAAACAAAACAAACAAACAAAAAAGAAATACTAAAACATGCAATAAGGGTAAAAATAAAATTAAGTACCAAAAAATGAAAAATAAATATAATATTTGCAAGGTCCAAAAGAAATATAGCAAACAACAACATGGTAATATATAACGGTGCAAGTATGAATTAGTGTAAATATTTCACAGGTGGTAATATTAGCTTAAAAGCACATGATATATAATGCACATAACATGCACTACACAGGTTGTGTGACAGGTTATTGCACAAGTAACACTGAGATTAACTGAATTATGAACATTATTTAGCAAATGAAATAACTTTTAGAACATCAACCAGTCTGACTTTTCTTAAAATACTTTATGTTCATTACAATCACCATTCTTTACAGTCCATAAAAGCACCAGACCCAGCTGCAGCCTGTCATGATGATGTTTCACTTTATGTTAGGACCTATAAACCAGCCAGTAAATGCTTAGAAAAGTGAGACACTGCTATGGAATGACAATTGGCCTATTATAATCCTTTAGCCACTGCAGGAATTCAAATACCCTCTGGTCACTACTTGTTGGTTTAAATACCCTTTGCTCCAAGAGTTAAGCAATGTGACATGCAGTATAAATTAATGTGAATCCCAACAAAGGTCTAAATTTATGATTTTGTTCCAGTGGCCAGCAGAGTCCAGTTGAACAGTGTTGACTGGTTTATTTGAAAAGCAGCCTGGCTCACATCAAAAGGTCATGTAGGCCAGATATACAAGGAGTAACTCACTTGTTGTAAACTGCAAACTGATATGGATATTGTCATTTAGAAAACACCAATAGTAATGTTACACACACACACACTTCATTTCAGTCTGTTGCTGCTGCATAGGGGGAAAAAAAAAACATAAGAAGGACCTCACAACAAAGTTCATATATGTGTAAATTCTGTTATAATGTGTACTATATATATATATATATATATATATATTTTTATATATAAATATATATATAT